CTTTTGATATAATTTTTTTTATTCACATATAAACACTCAATAAATATATATATATATATATATATAAACACGTGGTCTCTTATTCGCTCTTTCCTTCTGTTTAATACTTTAATTCTTCGTTTTAATGTTCTTTCTTTAATCATGCTTTACTTTTCTATATTCTCACCCACCGTCAAAGTTTGGTGCCGTTAATTCTTCGTTTTAATGTTTTTTCTTTATGCATGCTTTACTTTTCTATATTGTCACCCACCGTTAAAGTTTGGTGCGGCGGTTGGCGAAGAAGAAAAGGGAGCAGCCTGGGCTCTCTCTCTCTGAATTTGTGGTGGACCCAACAGAATGTATATTTCTTTTGGTTGAGGCTTAAAGGTCATTAGCTAATTTTTTTACCCAAATGCATAATTCATTTGGACGCATAATTAATAAAGTAGTTCTTTGCGTTGATTTATTCTTCTATAAATGAACATTATTTAACCCTCACCCTGAAACTTAAAAAGGAATTAAATCATTTTTAATAAAACAACATGATTTTATAATTAACTAAAGATACTACAAGTTTTTTAAATAGTAACGAACGTTTTCTCATTTGTTATTATTAATTTTTATGCTTTTCATTTCTAGTTTCTTACCTCTTTTCTCTTGGTTTGCACTTTCATCCCCTTCTTCCAAATCAACCCAAGCCTAAAAAGATTCACCAAGGTGTTTGAGAAAAATATAATTGTAGGTGATAACAATATCGGGCTTTTGGCATCATTAATATGTTTAAATTGTTCATAACATTCTTTTGAAAATTAATTGTTGTAATCTCAATAGAAAATTTTTATTAATTTTTTTCTTAGTTAGGTAACCAATGGGATTTTTTTTTATTTATGGCATAAGAATCATAATAATTATAATAGATTTATTAGAAACTGAATAATAAAAATGTAATAAGAAGGCTTAGGAGCGTTAAGAGAAGTTATTTTATAAAGTTTCTTTGTTCGGTCGAAGTTAATCAAAGGGTGTTTGGTCTAGTGGTATGATTCTCGCTTCGGGTGCGAGAGGTCGCGAGTTCGATTCTCGCAACACCCCTAAAAACAGTGGTTTTATATTTTACCATCCATGTCCGGGCCAGGACATATTTCAGTCCAATTCTTAAATTTGGGCCGCCACCGCATCTTTTCTCAGGCCCAGCCTTCTCGGAGCTAGGGTTTATAAACTGTATCTGCGAAGCAAGTTCATTACACTCTCCTAAACCCTTTCCCTTGACCCCCTTTCTCTGCGTCTCGCGCCCCAACTCCTTGCCTTCTTCGTCGCTGCGTCGCCGGGATCTTTCAGGATGAGCCGATCAGGGCAGCCACCGGATCTCAAGAAGTAAGTCTTTTACTTCTAGGGTTTCTCTTCCGCTTCGTTTTCATTTGGATTTCTAATTCTTTTTTTTTTTTTGTTCAACAGGTACATGGACAAGAAGCTTCAAAGTAAGTTTTTCCTCCTTTTCCCCTCAGTTTTGTCATATTTATACGAATTCGATTAAGTTTTTGTTTTAAGCATGTGGGTTTGTGTCTTTTAGGGTTTTTGCTTGCTGAATTGGTTAGATTCATAGATTGCAAACTTATGTTAGTTTTTGGGAGTTCTTCAACAAGCTAAGATGGGTTGAGAAAGCTGTAAATGGAATGCCCTAATGCTTGTCACAATAAACAGTACTTAAGCTGGGTTGAGTGTTTAAAATTTGGTGTAGACTTTGTAGTGCATCTTGTTGGGTTTTTGCTAAAATTTGCTGGACTGGTTTTCGGTCAAATGGAATCATAGATTGCGAAGCAATAATATTATAATTTTCGGTTGCTGTTTGCTCCTGCAAAAAGTGCTTAAGCAGAATAGAAATCTCTAATATTTTTTCTAACACAAAGAGTCATATAGGAGTTGCTTAGAGTTTTTCAATTTGGTATAATGCCTACTTCAATTGCTTAGTTAATTGTTGTTTGATAAAAAAAATTTGATTTGAGTGTTAGTTTTGAGTTTAAGTCTTTTCTTCTCAAATGGGCCCTGTTAGTTAGTAGTAGGTGACATATATGAAGTCTCAACTCTCATGTGCTAAATTACAAGGTTCAATGTTTTGACTTTTATATGCCTTTTAAGGAGTGATTCATATTTTCTTCTGCAAAATATTTACATGGAGAGGGTCTTAAGATGTCAACGCTCATCTTTGGGGACTTCTGTAGTCATTTTAATTCATTTAATGTAGATTAATTCTAGATTTTTGTCAGCCTGTACTTCCTGAATGCTCTTAAATTTTTTGATGTCAATACTTTAGTATCCCTAATTCTCTAATAATTCCATGTTCCTGGTTAAATTTTGTACAAAAAATTATGTGTTTGTACATGGGTGTGGGGAGTTTTGAGCTTAATTTGAATGCAATCTGTTGTCTGTTAGCATGTGACAATATTATAACAGCATGGAATTTGTATCTCTGTCCAACATGTGGAAGCTGTTTATAGCCATCTGATCTTCATTAACAAAAACTGTTGTTAATGGCTGAAACCATTACCATCTTATACTGCAGTCAAGCTGAATGCAAATAGGATGGTTGTTGGGACCCTTCGTGGATTTGATCAGTTTATGAATCTGGTGGTTGACAACACTGTGGAGGTGAATGGCAATGAGAAGATTGACATAGGCATGGTGGTGGGTATTCAGTCTCTTTTTGAAGCTCACTAGATTGTGAAAACGCTAATTTGCACACAAGCCTTTTACCATTAATCTTATTCTAATTGACTTCATCTTTGCATTGCAGGTTATTAGAGGAAATAGTGTTGTCACTGTTGAAGCTCTTGAACCCGTAGGCAAATCTTAGTCATTTTAGTTTCTCCTTTGAGATTTACTCCTTGCTTTCCCTGCTATTGTATTATGGATAGTAGCTATTACTAAGTGATTGATATGGGATTGAATACTTAGGAAGTTATGTTGATTCTTCCCCCCTTTTTCCTTCTGATTTGCTGCTCATTTCAAGTGGTTGTAAGGCAATGTATGGAATGCTAATTGTGATGTTCATGTAATACTTGTCTTAAAACCTTTGTGTATGCTTGAAATTTTTACCTTTATGCGGCGGTCTTTCAAATTCTTTTTGGTTCAATTTGCTATTCTACCAGACGATTTTGTTGATGAGTGTCATGTAATTCCAGCCATATTCCATCTTCATAGCCTAATGCCAGTATTAAATTCAATAAATAGTCTATTAACTATATGGTTCACTTCAGGTTAGTGCAGGAATAATTTTTTCTCTCAAAATGATTTATAAATTATCAATGTTGTTTCAAAATGATTTACTCGACAAATATTATGTTAACTAGATTAATAAAATGTTTGTTTAGATAAGTTGTTGTAAACAAATTGCCTTCTAAACTTTTGAAAATTGTTAAATATAATACATATATCTGTCTATCATAATCACGCTTTGTCAAATAAATATCACTTATTATAAGGTGGTAAGAAAATATACATATATATATATATAGATATAAACACGTGGTCTGTTATTTGTTCTTTACTTTTCCATATTCTTACCCACCGTCAGAGTTCAAACAAGACGAACGGTAGTGCAGCTCAAAAAAAAAAAAAGAGGAACGGTGGTGACGGCGGTTGGCTTTTGGGTTCTGGCAGGTCATGGCATGTGCATCAGTACTGTCTGAGTCACTGAAGAAAATGGAATGGGAATGTAGAGAAACGTGAGTAATTTATGGAATTAGAAGAAAGGGAGCAGGCTGGGCTACCTCTCTCTCTCTCGATCCCACCTTTGAATTTGTGGTGGACCCAACTAAATGTACATTTCTTTTGGTTGTTGATAATATGGTTGAGGCTTAAGGATCACTAGCTAATTTTTTTGCCCATATGCAAATTTCATTTGGACGCATAATAAAGTAGTTTTTTAAGTTATTTATTCTTCTATAAATGAGCACTATATAACCCTCACCTTGAAACTTAAGAAGGAATTAAATTATTTTTAATATAGCAACATGATTTTATAATTAGCTAAAGATACCATAAGTCTTTTTAAGTAGCAACGAATGCTTTTCTCATTTGTTATCATTTTTATGCATTTCATTTCTAGTTTCTTACCTCGTTTCTCTTGGTTTGCACTTTAATCCCTTTCTTTCAAATCAACCCAAGGCTAAAAAGATTGGTTTAAGTATTGGAAAAGGAACCTAACTTTTACTAAATTCTCAATTGAGGACCTCAACGCTTATTGCACTCAATCAAGGTTTTGAACTCATACAAACTCTCAAACAATGACCCAATTGGATGGAATCTTAACCATCCATCAATTCTCACATGACCATCCATTGTGATTCGTAACCCCTCAATACATGGCATGTTGACTGTAAAAAAAAAATATTTTTCAACGTGGCATGTTGGTCAGGATCTTTCCCTCCACAAAATAGGTGGGTCCCAGAAGACTCCTTTTCCCATTCTCCGTTTCCATCTTTCACTATTCAGCACCTTTTTAATAGTGTAGAAACCATTGTTTTAAAAATTGGACCGGATCGGCTGGTTAAATCGGTCGGACTAGTACCCAATATTAAAAATGGATTGGGTCAACATTTAGAACCAATAGAGTGGTTGAACCATTTAAAACCGATAAAATCATTCAAACCGATACAAACCAAAAAACCATTCAACCAAATGGTTTAAATCCTTTGGAGGATTTACCTTAAATTTGCTACCCCGGGGGCTTGAACAAATGACTTCAAGAAAAATTTCCGTGACTTTTGCCAATAGGACATTACCTGAAATGATTTGCTAACAATTTTATTTATTTTATTTTTGAAAGAAAAGAATTGATGATGCCATCCA